CATCTAATAATTGAATGCACAATGCTTTATCGTCCTTGCACCAAGTGGTCACGTGCTCTTGTTCGACTACATTGCAAAATTGGAATAATTCCCACATCGTATCATGGAGAAACGGTTGACACATCTTTTTAATACTGTCCGCCATATTTCTATATAGTTTTGTATTCCTAATTGCCATACAATAGGCCTTTTTATTAATAGTATTAAACGGATCAGAGTAATATTTCTCATGTATTGATACATGAACTTCCGGTTTTAAATGAGCCGGTGTCAATTCGAATCCAGGACTCACATGTTTTTTGTTGTAAACATCTAATGATTTTCTTCTTAGGTCAAGATGCCAATCGTATTTATCATGTTCGAAATAGTAAGCATATGTCATTATAACATTAACTGGACTAAGATCACCGCCTGGTCCTGTTTTCATAAAGGCTGTTTCTAAAGATGTTACATTCATGTGTTTAAGGATGTGTTTTCTGCAGTTTTTGACAGTGTCTGTCCATATATATACCGGAAAATACGTCATGAAATCACTGATCATAGGATGACCTATCATCCGTTCTGTCAGTTGAGACCATCCGATAGTATATTTGAATGTATCCATTCCCTTGGCTCGTAATTTCCCATTATTAACAATATTATCTTTAGTCACTGGGCTGGTAAATTTCCCATCAGTGTCTGTCCAAGCTATAACATCTGTTTCTATAAATAAATCCAGCAAAAAGCTGGAAAATATTTGTCTGTTGTAACCTGGAAATCGACGTCCGATTCTAGTGAAAATGGTCGGATCATGTGGTAGAGCTTCATAGTATATCTCGAAATTTATACCCATGGTTTCTTGGTGACTTTTGAGACTTTTTGCCATTTTAACGTCTTCATTGGATTCCTTATCAAGAATAATTCCAATGGATCCTATATCTTGTGACCAATACAATACAGCTGTTCTAAGGGCAGTACAGTACAGAAACGGTAACAGCCTGGGTTGACTTGAAGTTCTTATAGTTAATGTTATACTGGGTAATCCATCAAAATAACCTTTCTTACTGATATAGTTACTATCTTTCTCAAGTTTAAATTCATAATATCCCTGGTAACTTCTAAAAATCCGAAAATGGAATGCACTCAATAACAATAAAGAAATAACCAAGACACCAAAACAACTTTTACTTTTCCGTCGCGATACACACCGAATCCCTGAAAAATTTAAATTAAACTTATATATACGACAGTTTAATTACAGTATATTTTCTTCATTGTGGGAGTAGAAGGGCATAATATTACGCATAAATCAAATTTAAATAGTTAAAGAAATAGTTGATAGAAAACCATCGCACGTAGCTTAAAATAAGGAATAAGAACACGTGTCCAGGCAACCAACCTTTCCTTGGATATATTAACCCCGTATAGCTGGACATTATAACATACATTTTATTACGTTCATCGGCCAGAATGAAATCTCTTGATCACCAGACTGAGTATTAGAGGTTCGTAGCATTTGGGAATTGGAAGCTAACAAATAAATAACATGTCTATATGAATTTCTTATATTGATTTGACCACGGGCTTCAAAGTTTCAAATATAAGGCGTATGAAAACTTAGCTGAACTCGATGTACAGTCTTTGAATATCATACGAGAATATAATCGTCCGCTATTGACCCTAGTAGTTTCATCAAATATATTACATAAGGCTTAAATAAATATTTGAACTAACATCTTGAGAGGATCACATAATAAAACTGGTGTTACTCGTTTTATAAGTTATTATCAGAAATCACATGAATTTATTACTGGAAAATATTTGATATATATCACTATTACTGTTACCGTAAGCATAAGATATAATTTATATTTATATTATATTAATTAATCTTAATTATTATAATTAGTTACACCTTCAATCTTATAGACGTTGGACCAATTATTTAAAATAGTTTTTAATCATAAATAAAATAAATCATTTCAATGAGGGCTAATCTAAGAACAACTGGCGTCTTGAAAAATCTGATCAATACCAGAATTTATTCGACCTTGAGCTGACAATTGAAAAATGACAACATAGGAATGTTTTTTATTTTGTTGAGACAGAACTCATTAGGCCTAAGGAGATTTTGAATGAATTATATTTTCATGGACAGAAACAGACAATAATTCTTGAATTCAGAAATATGCAGCACAATTTCCATACTTCTACATTTATTATAGATTTTAAAATTATTTTTCTACTATATAAGTCTTATTTTTCTACTTTCAAGTTAAAATTGTATGCTAAATATATACAACACCTCATTGAAATTAGTAGCGGCGATGTCCAATTTGTCCTATTTCATGTGTGTATTCTATTTTTATCTGATAGGATCAAGATAAATCATGCAGAAGAGTAGGACGTTAAACTCCATTCATTTCATTTCATTTCAAGATGAATCAGTTGATCGAGATAAGTCAGTTGACAATCTTTTTTCTAATAATCTCAGCATCCTATCTCGTCTAATTTTTCACAGTTGTCATAACTCTTGTCACAAAAACATATGTAGAAAATTGACCTACCTTTCATCTTTTTAGTGGTACTTCGAAGCTTTATTTCTTTTTTTCCTCATTTCAGCTGCAACTGCGTTAGACTGACGAATTAAAATGACAGGTATTAAGATATAGTGATTATGTACCGACGAAATAACTCATAATCATTAATTATATAGGTGTATTTCTTGATCGGATATTAATTAGAATGTTCATATTTTATGATGTGACATGTAGCTAAACAGGTTATGGCCGAAAGATACGGTTGAAACGATCTATTTAAACTGTAGTATTGTATACCTGCTAAAACGACTGAACAAATTGAAGTGGCAATGAACCATGAACAAAATAAATAACTTGCAAACAATAAGGTAGTATTGTTCCATTAAAATAACACAGTGTAATCAGTTATAGAGCAGTAAATTCTATATCTTCACATATGTTTCATGGAAAATTCAAAAGAAATGCTATCTTCACATTAAACATTAAATATATGTACTGTATCTTGCAACACGTCAGTAGTTTATTCTTAATCGGATTTATTACAGAAAAATAGGAAATGGTACCTTGACAAAAGCTTGGAGTTATAATATCACTGATACCATTATAAGAGCTTGGAGTTATAACAGCACTGATACCAAGAGTTTGGAGTTATAACAGCACCAATACCGTTATATGAACTTGGAATTTGAACAGCACTAATATCGTTATATGAACTTGGAATTTTAACAGCAGAAGCTGAGAACGGGATATGTTTTATTATAAAATAAGATCACATACATAATCAGATGGACTGTGAAATAAAAATAATCTGATTGGAAATCTATTGCCGGTTTATATTGAATGGAAAAGTTATAATTATATTAGGAGTTCTATTGGGTTTACCAATCAAAATAGTATACTCATTTATTTCCACAAATTCATTCGGATAGTGATCATCAGCTGATTAATCATCAATTTCCTTAATCAAAGTCAGTCAAGATTCAGACGAGTTATTATCTAACAGCATTTTCTCACCCCTTAAAGTTTTATTGATATAGGTTATTTTCTTCGCAAATTTTTCGTTTCAATAATCTGCAGCCTATTGGGATTATATATTTAGTGAGAAAGAAAACTTTAAAAGAGCCATTTTCGGTAATGCAAGTTTTGGTAAATTTGAGATAATACCTCCGAATTTTTCAATCCGGGTTTCCGTTGTCAGTGATGCAGGTAAGAGAGGCCGACATCGAAAGAGCGTCTAGTAGTTTGGATAAGACAATAAAGTGAGGTCCAGTGTGCTGCATGCTGTGCACGTTAAAGATCCTCGACCGTTGGAAATAAAAACAAGTGGTTGCCTAGCAAGATACGCCCACTTCCCTGATACATTGTCAGTATATCACGTGCAGTCACCAATCGAACTTGTCCAAGATATCATCTTTATAAATGATCACACCAATTAGTTTCATTTCAATCGTATGAAAACTGTAATCTCTATTGTGTTCACAAAGAAAATTTTACACGTCTTTCATAAATCAAGGGCAATAACTCAAAAACAATTTATCGAAAGATCGTCAAATTCGAACTTGTCCAAGATCTCATCATTATAAATAATCACACCAAATTACATTTAAATCGAAAGAAAACTGTAGTCTCTATTGTGTTCACAAAGAAATTTTGACGGTCTAGAACTTGTCCAAGATCTCATGAATATAAATGATCTCACCAAATTCCATTTAAATCTGAAATGAAAACTGTAGTCTCTATTGTGCTCACAAACCAATTATGGACCGACGGACGGACGGGGCGACGACAATATACGACCACATTATAAAGTTAAGATTCCATATACGCGTCATGCAGATGCGTCATGCGGACATAAATGGCCCTTGCGGATCCGTCATGCGTCAAATATGATTCCATATGTGCGTTGAACGTATGCGTTATTTTTCTTTTGACGCACGGACTTCTTTTTTTGTTTTAGCTTAAAGCTAAGATTCCATATACGCGTCATCCGTCATGCGTTAAAAATCAAAATGGTTGGTTTAAGAGGGTATGATTCCATATATGCGGAAGCGGTATCCGTCAAATTAATGGTCTCCGTCATGCGTCAAAAAGAAATCGCCGGGTGTAGCGATTTTTGATGCATCCGAACGCCTTTCCGAGCGGAGATCTCCCAAATGTGACGTATTATGTGGGGATTACCTGTCATTTTTCCCGCCATATTTTGACAACGAAGATGGGGAAATCAACATACTCGACACAGACTTCTGAAAAACTCATAGAGTTAGTGAAAAAAAAACACCCCATCGTTACGATAATAGATCGCAATTACACCATGATGCGGATTTCATGTATAATAACTGGAGGAGCATTGCCAGGATCATCGGAATCGAAGGAATAGACGGTAAATATTCTCATAAAAGACTCAAAAGGCTCCACAGAAGTATCAGTAGGATATTGTGGACCCAATAGCGATACTTGCTTTTTTTTTCTTCTTCATTTTCATTTTCAACCATTCCATAGCAAGTCTGGCAATAAAAACTTCATCTTGCTCCAGCATAAATTTATGCACCAAAGCATCCATCTGTCTAGAAGTCCGTGCGTCAAAAGAAAGATAAGCATACGTTTAACGCACATATGGAATCATATTTGACGCAAGACGGATCCGAAAGGGCCATTTATGTCCGCAGGATGCATCCGCATGACGCGTATATGGAATCTTAGCTGAATGTGGGCTTATAAAAAGCCAAGCTAGTGCTGCTGTCCTGGCAGAATTTCTCGCATTGCATCCTGCATGGCTGGCCATCATCATTAGCCAACATGGTGCAGAAAAGTAGGACGTAAAAACTCCATTCATATCATTATATTTCGGAAAATTTCAGCAATGATACGGTCATATTTGATGCTCAAAATATACTGTACAGAAAATTGACGAACCCAAATTAAAAATATTCGTTAGTCCGATGCATTGTTATGATTCTGTTTATCTTCTACAAAATAAAGATTGATGGTCAAAAAACATTATACAGAAAACTGACTTTTTTTATAATTTGTCGATGGCTTTTCTTTGAAGGCATAGGTTTTCAGACACATGACTTACTCAAGTACAAAATATTATTTAGTCCCAATGTGTTGATGTTCAAACATCTATGTCCAGTACAACGATTTTTTGATGAATGACCACCTTAAACTGACAAATAAATTGTTACAGAGTTAGACAGAGAAACTAATCTTTCATCTGAAAGATAGGATACAACTCATTATAATGGTACATAGAAAGAGAAATCATAGATAATTGAGTTGACTTACTGCTAGTGTTAGGTGTCACTAGCAAGATGTGAAATTATTACCAATAATGACCGACTGACCGAATATTTTCCAATAACTGTATAATATGATTAGAAGTCTTGACTTGTCATTTTCAAGTTTAAAACAATGACAATTTAGCTATGAAAATGACAAATGTCAAATTAATTAATAAATAAATTTTTTTTTTGTTTATACAATAAAAATTTCTATATAGGGTATATAATATAGGAAACATTATATAATACAATATCGATATTACATAGATATGAGACATATTTTTAATTCAAATTCCATTTTGAAAGTAACTATATCGTCATTTCATTAGCCATTAAAGTAAGTCAATTTGACCACAAATACAATTTTGTCCTTGAAAAGGCGTTTATGAGCGATTTGCGCTGAAAAGGGTGGCCACATTGACTATTTGTTTAATTAAAGTTATTAGTGAAGTTAGAATTACTTTCGGTTTCGCTTTTTTGACAAGGAATTTTAAAATTCTGCTTTTAGAGATGTTTCAGTCTATAAAGTTAGTTTATGAACAGATGTCTATTATCTCTATCATTTTGAGCTCAAAATATTATAGTTTTTATAGTTAAGGAATAATCCTGAAATGCAAAATTGCCTCCAATAATCTTCAACCCTGACACCCCGGCATAACATCATGTAATATACACAGACACCAATCTGGGATGTGATGTGGGATTTGAATATTATATTTGCAGGGTTTTCCACTGAATGGTTTGAACAGATAATCAGGATGTAAATACACATACATAAAAGAATTATATACATAACGACCCATATGCACCAAATCATACTAAGAAGAAAAGAATCATTTTAAACCTAACATTTAAAATATTTTAAATATATAACTAGAGATTATTCTAATGATGGTATGCACCAACTAACAATTAATTAAGTATATTTAACTGTTATGTAATTGAAATAAAGAACTGCTATGAATGTTATTATTAAAATTTTCTTTTCTCCTATGGAAGAAATAAATACGAAACTTAATGTGATATGAAATCCATTTCTTGTTTTCATTTTTGCAAAATAGATGTAAAATATAGTTGCCTGGATTTAAAGAGTCCTGGGCGGTGTGTGAAATGTCTTTTAATAGGTTCATGTCACCAAATCTATTTACATTGCTAAACAATTGGTCCATTTTGAAACCCCTAGGAAATTTCGTCTGATTTACAAATATTATTAAAAGTAAAAGTCGAGTAACTTTAAGTTTATCATTAAATTTGCCAATTCTTAAGTAGATTTAAGATTGGTGCATACGAAATATGAAATTAAAATAAAATCTAATGTTATTCTTTGACCCCAACACTACACTTTATGTTTCCTAGAAACTCCACTAAACAGGCTCAAAAAAAGACTCACATTGAAAACCCATGTCCTTGGCAGCATTTTCTACAGCAGAGACTTTGGTTAGATTTAACTTGTAAACATCTGAATCGACCAGATCATGTACTTTTGAGTATTGTTCATCTAATAATTGAATGCACAATGCTTTATCGTCCTTGCACCAAGTGGTCACGTGCTCTTGTTCGACTTTATTGCAAAATTGGAATAATTCCCACATCGTATCATGGAGAAACGGTTGACACATCTTTTTAATACTGTCCGCCATATTTCTATATAGTTTTGTATTCCTAATTGCCATACAATAGGCCTTTTTATTAATAGTATTAAACGGATCAGAGTAATATTTCTCATGTATTGATACATGAACTTCCGGCTTTAAATGAGCCGGTGTCAATTCGAATCCAGGACTCACATGTTTTTTGTTGTAAACATCTAATGATTTTCTTCTTAGGTCAAGATGCCAATCGTATTTATCATGTTCGAAATAGTAAGCATATGTCATTATAACATTAACTGGACTAAGATCACCGCCTGGTCCTGTTTTCATAAAGGCTGTTTCTAAAGATGTTACATTCATATGTTTAAGGATGTGTTTTCTGCAGTTTTTGACAGTGTCTGTCCATATATATACCGGAAAATACGTCATGAAATCACTGATCATAGGATGACCTATCATCCTTTCTGTCATCCTAGACCACATTTTAATATGCCCGTATTTGAATGTATCCATTCCCTTGGCTCGTAATTTTCCATTATTAACAATATTATCTTTAGTCACTGGGCTGGTAAATTTCCCATCAGTGTCTGTCCAAGCTATAACATCTGTTTCTATAAATAAATCCAGCAAAAAGCTGCAAAATATTTGTCTGTTGTAACTTGGAAATCGACGTCTGATTCTAGTGAAAATGGTCGGATCATGTGGAAGAGCTTCATAGTATATCTTGAAATTTATACCCATGGTTTCTTGGTGACTTTTGAGACTTGTTGCCATTTTAACGTCTTCATTGGATTCCTTATCAAGAATAATTCCAATGGATCCTATATCTTGTGACCAATACAATACAGCTGTTCTAAGGGCAGTACAGTACAGAAACGGTAATAGCCTGGGTTGACTTGAAGTTCTTATAGTTAATGTTATACTGGGTAATCCATCAAAATAATCTTTCTTACTGATATAGTTACTATCTTTCCCAAGTTTAAATTCATATCCCTGGTAACTTCTAAAAATCCGAAAATGGAATGCACTCAATAACAAAACACCCAAGACACCAAAACAAATTTTAGTTTTCCTCTTAATCGCTGAAAAATTAAAAATAAAATTTATGTTTACAATAATTTTATTGCAGTATTATTTATTAAATAGAAAAGCAGTAGAAAAGCATACGTATGAATAAAATTGAACAATTTATAGTCAATAGAAATTCATCGTTCAACGTGGAAACATGATCAAGATAATGTTGCTCATTGGATCATGCACATTCAATCTAAGTAAAATTAGTGATAATTTTCCTGACGACGAAGGAACCCCGAGAATAATAATAATGGCACAGGCTGTCTGCTCCAACCGGTTATATTCCATTAGTTGGACGTCCCAATTGTTAGACATAGTTGATTAGTCAATAATTAATATTTCCCGCGATTCGCTAGTAAAGCGGGAAATTGTTGTGTGTTTGATTTGTTAATGTAGACACGTGATCATCACGTGGTGGTTACCTTCCTTGGTAACTGTTTGTAAACAAACGCCATTCTACTGAAGTCTACCTTCCTGCGAGACGCAAAGTTTAATTTTGTTTCAATATTATTAGAAATATATTCACGAATATAAGTCTGGGTATCGACTCTCGAGACGACTTTTGCATTAGGTATCAGACACAGGTTTCCAGAGCTTATTTTCATTATTTCAATTAATGTTTTTGATCTTTGGTTTTTCCTGACCTGCAAAGTCGTTTACGACGAAGTATTCAGAGAATAGGCCTATGAGTAATCTAAGTTTATGAGTAATTTACTAAATTCAATGAATATAAATGTATATAGGTTGTTGCTTATTATTTATGCATATTTGTTTACGATGTATTACTATCCACACTAACATAATATGTTATTATGTACATAGTTTTTCGTTAATAAAAACCGGCATCTATAGCACAAGGTGGGCTTATCGGCAAATCTATCAGATTGTTATTATTTGGTCTTAATGGAGAAGATAATATACGGGAAAATATCTACAAGTGTAATGGATTAGGCCCAATTAAGATTAGAAGATATGAGGACACCACACCTTTCGTTTTGAAGTTCTATATTCTCCACCTCTACCCTCTATATTTTTAATAGGCCTATACATCAATTCATTCACATTAAAATTAAATAAAATATTATTTCTTTGAAGACACGTCCAAATATACCTTTTGACGTATTTAAGTCTGTGTAGCCAAATATATATGACTATGGGTTTCTCGTAGCGTGTGGTGTTATTAAATTCCAGTGGCCTTTAATGACCTTAATGTCGTCTGTATCTTAAAGAACCGTTCACACCAAAAACGCGCGTTCAACACAGCGTTAAACGCCGCGTTTTTCGCTCATGACGGGGATCACACACACAGCTTGAAACGCTGCGTTGAGGAATCAGGAAATTACAAGATGGCGGATACAGATGACATTGGCGATGTTTTGACATTTTATGTCTATTAAAGAACGGAAAACGAAAAGGACAGCGTTCGATTTGGGTCCATGATATTTTTAAAAAAAGAAAGAAGTTCGGCGAATATCAACACTTGGTTAAAAGTCTGCACACCTACGAAGACAAATTCTTGCAGTACTTCAGAATGACCCCATGGCATTTTGAGCACGTGCTTGGTCTCATAGAAGCCGAAACACAGAAGTCCGACACTAATTACCGCGAGGCAATTACAACAATGGAACGGCTGGCCATTTGTCTAAGGTAAGGGAACTTCGGAATGTCAAAGTATAATAATTTTATTCTTTATTAACAGCTAGTCATAAGCCCTACAAATTTACTGCTAAAAGACGCAGCGCAAAACGCGCTGAATAACTACAGAAGTTATTTCAGGCGACAACGCGGCGTTGAACGCGCGTCATTTCTTAACGCGCGTCTCTGGTCTGAGCCTTTTATTGATAATCCATTGATATTATTATCGCGGCGTTGAACGCGCGTTTTTTTTCGACGTCCCGTTCCGCGTGACGTCTTTGGTGTGAACGGACCTTAACACGTTAGTTTGTCGTAGAGTATAGAGGCAGTTAATTCCATTGACCCGATTAATCTTATAAGTCCGCGTACGTTAACGGTATTTTCTCTTAGCGATGAAATTTAATAGACCCATACTCCTAGGTCGTGGTGGAATCTAGAGAAATGGTGGGGTTATTTATTTCGAAAAATGTATCCTACGGGGGAGGGGGGATGATTCGATAAATATTCGAAATGTTTACTTTCCACCTTTCGCTTCACGAAGAGTATGGGTTTAGTAATTCCATATAGGATGATTCATTATTTTAAGATTTGGTCGAATTAAATTTCCAGGATGCTTTTGTTTAGGCCTACTCGGCGTTATCAATATTAAAATATTTACATCCGTCGATTCGTGAAGCGACGAAAAGTATACGATTAGTCAAATCCATATGGTTGAAATATTCTTTTACAGTTTTATCCGATTTAATGTCTTCCAATGTTTACGGGTATTGAAAAATGGGTTAAGTCAGTTTTCTATTAAATGAGTAATAATAATGGAGAATAAGTTTAATCGTTATAGATTTTAGGTTTAGAGTTTAGTTTTCGATTGACACCTTGTAATAACTGGTAAATGTAGCTGATGATAATAACATCTGTCGCCTATTTTCTTAAAAAAATATTCGCAGGTTTTAGTATTCAAATTCAAGTCCAATTCAAAATATGCATATGCATAGTCAAATTTAATAGAACAATTTTAATATCCAAGGATATTAAGTTCAGATCTTAAGTTTTTTATCCAAGCTAATACAAAATTAAAAGGTTTGCACTAAGATAAATTTAGTTTGCAAAAATATCAAGTATAGAAAGTATAGAAAGGAGTAGTGTTCTTATTTCTTTAATGCTCTACCTACATCTAAATGTCATTTAGTCATGTCCTGTCAAGTATAGAAATATCTGCAATGAGCTGGGATGAATAGGACTTAGCTCATAAAACATGATATACATAGGTTGGTTGGTAGATGACAAGTTAACGTTGGCTTCCAGCGAATTCTGATATCGCAAATTAGGTAGTCGTAGTAGTTGGTAGATTTCTCTGGCTTCGGGGAAATATTTAAATAAATTTGGTTAAATATATTTTAAGTGCTTAAAATATAGATAAATATTTTTTACACTTACATAACAAGTATCGCTTTAAACAGTGGTTGAGCATCACGTCCTTTTTGCTATCTGCAGAGTAAGACAGGACTGTCCTTTGTCGCCATATATATTTATATTATGCGCAGAAATATTAGCATCCATTTCGAGAAATAACCTCCTTGATTTTTATACCAATTAATATCATTCTGCCAAATGGGTTAGTAGTATATGTAGCGTATTGATTTCAAAATACTATGTTTTTGTTTTCAACTAGTTAATAACGTTGGTCCTTCCTACATTCAAGATCTTGTTCAACCATATGATCCTTCTAGAAATCTCCGCTCTAAAGATAAATTTCAACTTGTGAAACCATCATTTAATTTAAAATGATTTGATGCTAGAACATTTGCATATGCTGCTGCACACTTATGGAATTTCCTCAACATATCCATTAGATCATCTTCAAATATAGAAGACTTTAAATCCAAATTGAAATCACACTTGTTTGGTCGTTACGATTAGACTTACTGTAAATAAAGATTATAAAAGACATGTGTCAGCGCTTTGAGCACTCTCCATGTATATTGGATTTGAATGCGTCAAATCTGAAAAGACAAACCTACACCCTACATTCATTTAAAATAAACATACCATTGCGTACAGATTCCATTTCGGATAATGAATATAATCCTTTTCAAAATTAATTCCTTATAATTAAATCAACTCGAATACGTGTTTATGTAATATAACATCAACTTAAGGCACTCACTTGGAGCGTAAATACATAAAACATTTAACATAACGTTAATGAACTGATACTATCATTAGAGACGTCCTATGAAACAACCAATCAGCAATAGGCCTACGTGTCACCCAGTTGGCAAGACTAGTTTTCTATATCAGCATCCGCTGGAAGCGAATGTTAACTTGTCATCTACCTACCTACCTACCTACCTCAATTTGAGACAAATCCAGTCTCAGTGTGGAAATTTTGCAAAAGGAAGACATGCGACTATTCTTTCAATATCCATCGTTAGAAGAAGACGTCTTTCTCTATATCTAAGGGTAATATTATTTTGATCTGAATAAATGCTTTGGTGGCTAATCCCTTGGTGGGAGTAAATTTAGTAAATCGCTTAGGAAGCCTAGTCCTTGGTGGATACGATTAGATCTTATATGAGTGAAAACCTAGGTGGTCTTAAATTTTTAATCAATTTTTATTCAGTCATGGTTTTGCCAATGGTTTTGAAAAAAGGCTCTTCTTTGAAGGGGGCCAACCTCGTTCCTGCTAAAAACAACGTATCAGAAATGTTACGGCATCAAAGCAATTCGCACGAATATCCAAGGAAAATGATTGTTGAAAATATGTCAAATGAAACACTACAAGATGTTTTGGAAACGTCTGGTCGTGATTACAATGCAGTAAATGCAAGACTAGCCCTTCATTTTCTAATTGTATTGGCTAATGAAGTTGGTCAACCTGGTCAAAAAATTACAACATATTCCTAATCAGGCATGCCTGTTTTAACATATTGATAAAATTTTCACTCGTATTGGTTGTTATCTATAGATATAACATATAATTACAAGTCATTCTCGTTCGATTTCATGATTGGATTTTATGGATGGTAATGTTATTACTATCGTGAGCCAATTACTAATTTGTTATTATTTTAGGCAAGTGGTTGTAACATTGGAATTGATGATCCAACAGATTCAGAAACTGTGGAAAAGCCCCCAAGAGAGCTAGGCATAGCTTAGAAGACAGGATTGATTGTTTGGAGAGGACGAAGAGTCAGATGGTTAGTGACTTACGCGATAGGCTTAGGTCGCTTTGTCTCCAGCAAGAGACAACTGATCTACTCATTCTTCTAACATTGGATGATTTAGCTAAAACGCCCAGGAAGGTCAATGATGATGATGCGGGGGTTTAATATGAAGCTCAAAACGCTGCTATGGTTTCTCCATATATGTTTCCAACTCCCTATAATAATTAGTTTGGTTACGGTCGGGGTTATAATAGAATGCCATATTCGAATATATTTTCGAGGTGTTTTAGACCTAGGGGAGCCTGTTTGTTGTTGTACCATTGTTGTAATTTTTGTACCATGGCTAATTGTCACATAGTGCCAATAAATGAATTGAATTGAATTGGAGCGTGTTTGTTTTGCGACAGCAGCTCTCATCAAGTTAAAGACTCTGAAGCTAGCTAAAGGCAAATAGGCTGGATTTATTCAAGTGGGTTCTATCTCTATGTGGATGCTGGTTTAAATCTTTAGTTATTTTTAAATCTCCTTCAGTTATCCCAGTATTCGAATACCTACGAGGCTGCTTTAAGTGAAAGAGAAGCTTAAAATACAGACTCTCCAGGAAATCTCTAGAAACTATATACAAACAATTCATTTTACCAATATTTGATTATGCTGATGTTTTATGGAACAATTGTACAAAAGAAGATGAAACTAAATTAGAAAATATCAATTTGGACGCAATTCGCACTATAACAGGTCTTGTTCGGGGAACTTCCCACTCAGTTTTATACAAAGAGTCCGGCTTCTCAAGTTTAACCGATCGTCGCTTTTGTCACAAAGTAACTCTATTTTATAAAATGATTAATGGTTTAACACCTCAATATCTGAGAATTCTGGTACCACCTCATATTTCGATTGTAAACCCTTACCCCATCAGAAGCAAGCACAATTTTCGCACTATTCCATGGAACACTGTAGCTTACAAATCATCTTTCCTCCCATCTACTGTACAAATCTGGAACAATCTGCCCGACTCAATACGTAATTCTTCTTCCCTCTCTCAGCTTAAATCCCTGCTGGTAAAATTCACCTCAAAATCCTCTGTACCATTATATTTCTACTGTGGCGACCGTCCATCACAAATAATACATACCAAACTACGTCATTATAAAAGTCAACTAAACGCTCACAAATTCTTAATGCACATATCCGACAATCCATCCTGTTCATGCGGCCACACCTTTGAAAATTCTGAACACTTTCTTCTCTACTGTCGCAACTTTTCAAAACAACGAAACAATACAATTAATCTTCTCCCTATTCATTTACGTTGCATATTAACACTTCTTAACGGCAATCCAAAATTATCTTTAGAAACAAATCTGTATATCTTTCAAACTGTTCATAACTTTATATCATCTACAAAACGTTTTGACACCTAGCTAACGCTGTCGAAGTATGGCCTCCGTTTTAAAACGAAGATTATTTTATTTTGATTAACGATAAACACCCTCATCCCCTCTCAACTATTTTCATTTGTCATTATCACTAACATTTTATTCACCAATGAATTTGTTCGGCCCTATTCCCTTTCCTTTTGTAAATATGTTTGTCACTTCCTGTTTTGTTTCCAATGTACATTTCGCTGCTGTCAACTCCTATATTATGTAAATTATACTTTTATCATCTGTAAATATTCGTATTGGTAACAGATTTATATAAGCTTCGGCTTGTTTCTGAAACCAGCATTAATCTATAGCATATGTATGATTTTGTAAATTATCAATAAATATTGTTTAAACAAAAAAAAAAACAAAAAAACAAAAAAAAAGTGAAAGAGAAAGTGGATTTGATCCGATTGGTATGAGAGTACGAGATAAACCAGCATGGATTACACTTGGAGGTGGAACTCTGTCATCGTTAAACCCGTATCCTATTGTTGAGGATGTTTTTGAAGTCAAGGGTTCCTTTGACATTAACTCTTTGCCACTTAGAGATCCTGTCTGTTTTGTGTCTGGACAAATCCACGAGCAATTAGAAAATTGGGAGCATATTTTTGATCAAGTTAAGTTTGGGAATGTAGGTAAGATTTCAGAATGGTTCAAATTTTAATTATTATTAATGACTTTTTTCGATCATTTACTGGTAATTTTAAGGGTAGGTCATATGATTGTGATATCCCTCCTCGGCATTTCTCCAATAGTGCAATATCTTGCAAGAAGGGTTTTAGACCAACCCGTAACGTATTCTGCAGTTTATGAAAGATTAAAATCGTACTTATCGTCTTTAGGTTTAGATCAGGGCGAGGCGCCGCATAGTTTCCGTTCCGGATGTGACATAACGATGGCTCTGTCTGGGTCAGTTAATAATCCCGAACAAATGATCCGCCACATAGGGTGGTTTACTGAAAATAGCGCCAGGTATTATAGCATGATAAATGCTTTAGCGGATTCTACTATTATTGCTACGAAATATGCCGAGGAGGTAGAGAAAATGTATAAATTAAATGCTGACTACTCTATGTTAGATGTTTTCAAATTATGGGGACAGGAATACATTTTCAGGCCAATAATGTAACAATATGTTACTCAACAAATCATCAAATCGTCAACGATTTAAGGTAGCAACTATCAAATATTGGTATATTGGAAGCGCCCCTTAATACAAGTAATATCTGAATATAGAATACAGATAAGAGAAGTTCTGCCAATAGTTCCCATGTATGTCGGAATGTAACTTTAAAGATAGTTGTCGAAGGAATAAAGGTAAAATAATGTGTTTGTTTCTAATTGATTAAAAACTAAATAAATAGACTCTTGACAAATTGAACTGCATGAACTGCAATTGTATATGCAAAAAATATTCGATTATTTAAACATTAAATATGAATCAAGTAGTTTGAATAAAGAATCTATAGAAATTTTTAATGTGCATGTTTAAACACTTTTATTTTAGAAAGGAATTTCAATTTAGGATTTAAGCTTTCATTTCAATGTCTGTCTGACAACCGCCGACTGAGAGCCTATGCTAGCCTTTTACGCTGGTTAACAACGTAAGAAGTATTTTTTTTTTAAACAATATTTATTCAAGAATTACAAATATTACAATATACATATAGATAAACATATGGTTTTGGAAACAAGCTTTAAAGCTTATATAAATCCATTACCATTCAAAAATAGTTACAATACGATACAATACAAATTAGGGAAAAATTTACAAATTATTTACACTAAATGAGGTTCTCTCAACTGTATCAAGGTTGTAAGACAGCAGATATGGTTCAGTAAATTTAATTGTATGGATGAAATAAAATATGTTTGTTGGAGGTTTTGCTCATCGATGTGTCGGTAATCGGCATGGCCCCACAACGACCCTGGTCGATCGAGGCTAATATAGAGAACTGGAATGTCTTACGAAGATAAACAGGTGGAGGTAAGGACAAGATCAATAGTTTGGCATGAGTAAGTGGTAGGACTCAATAGAACGAACCATAGGTAAGCTTCAATAGAGCTAGCACAAATTAGGTAAGTATCAATAGAACGAGCAATAAATCAGGTAAGCCTCAATCGAACGAACCATAGATCTATAGAGATCAGGTTTACTTCAGTAGAGCGAACCATATATCAGGTATGACTCAATAGTACGAGTAATGGATCAGACAAATCAGGACTTTTAATAGACCATCAATAGGACGAACAATGAATCAAGTAAGCCTCAATAGATTCAACCGTAGATCAGGTAGGACTCAATAGAACGAGCAATAGATCCGGATAGCCTCAAGGGCTAAGAGTAGATCTGGTAAGCACTCAGTAGATTAAATGAGCCTCAATTGTGCGACCAATAGATCTCGTAAGTCTCAATAACACTAACAATAGATCAGGTAAGTATCAATAGAGCGATCAATGGATCAGGTAAGCCTCGGTTTACCCCATGGGCAAACAAATAGACCAAGTAAGCCTTAATACAACGAGCGAAAGAGACCAGGTAAGTCTCTTTAGGACGAACATTGGATCAGGTAAGCCTCAATAGAATGAACAATAGAGACTAGGTAAGTAGGACGGACCGTGGACCAGGTAAGACTCAATGGAACGAACAATGCATCAACTAAGCCTCAATTTAACGAACAATACATCAAATAAGCCTCAATTTAACAAACAATGCATCAAATAAGCCTCAATTTAACAAACAATGCATCAAATAAGCCTAAACATAACATCAATAGAGCGAGTAATAATGCAGTTAAAGACTAACAATAGAGCAGTTCAGTCTCAATAGATCAGATAAGTTTCAATAGATCAGATAAGTCTCAATAGAACGAACAATAGAGAGCAGGAGATAAAGAATAAGATAAACAGTAGATCAGGTAGGCCTCAAACGGTCTAACTATAAATCAGGTAAGCCTCAATGCAACGAGCAATAGACCAAGTAAGGATCAGAACAACCAACAATACACCAGGTAAGCTCAGTAGAGCGAACAACAGGTCAGGTAATCCCGGATAAAACGAACAATAGATCAAGTAATCCTGAATAGAACGAACCGTAGATCAGGTTATCCTGAATTAAACGAACAATACATCAAGTCATAAACCTGAATAAAACGAACAATATATCAGATATGTCTCAATAGCAAGAAAAAATAGATCAGGTAATCCTACATAAAACGAACAATGGATCAGAACAGCATTCAGCAACTGTTAACTCGGATAGATCTGGTTATAATGAATATAATAAAGACCCAAAGACGCAATGAAACAGGTGTGGTTAAAAACGATGCGTTAGTTTAATATATTCATGGACAATGCTAATGATAGTGGTGTTCTCTTTAAGACTAAGGTCTGGGGGATGCCTGTAGGAGTAATTTGGTATCTAGAAAATGCATGGTGGGTGTATGAAGCGTCTTGGAACGTTGAGTATGGTAACGTGGACAGTAAAGAAAGAAGTGATCAGCATTTTCAAAGGAGTGGCCACATGGACATGATGGATCTTCAGTAAGGTGTCGAGCAAACATGTGGCAATGGAGTTCACTCATACTGTTTCTGATTCTACATGAATTATTTCTAATGCTCTGTCTCCAAGGTAGAAGTAGCTGGGAATCTGAGTATCTTTAGCTTTTAACTGTTGTTTAAAAGATTGAATGGATGTAGTCGTTTTCATGTACTCAGGGAGATTATTACAATCACGAATTACTGATGGAAGAAAGGATTCCTGGAAAAGGGTACTCTGGCAGAATGTTGATCTTAGTTGATCCTGGTTGTGGGTGTTGTAGGTATGAATGTCGCCAGTGTGGCGGGGCACTAATATATTCAGATAAGGTGGTGTAAGGTGGTGTATCATCTTGTAGAAGAGAGTGAGCTTGTGCCGATAGCGCCTGGTTTTCAATGATAAAAAGCCAGTTTCTTTATATAGTATCTTGTGGGATGTACCCCGTGTCAGGCCTGAGATGGTTAGCAATGCGTCAAGTTGAAGATTTTCGAGGCGTTAAGCTTCCCGAAGTGAGCAATTGTCCCAAACGACATCATTATAGTCAAAGAGTGGTAGGATAAATGACTAATATAGCTTTTCTAAGGATTTTCGAGAAAGGCGATATTTCAGTGATCGTAAGCAGTCGATGGATTTTCTTGTTTTAGAAATGATGTGATCGATATGTTTGTTCCACTTGCCATCTGCACTGAAAATTATACCTAAATGCTTATGCTCGTCAGAATCAAAGATAGAGGTGCTATTGAAAAAGAGGGAGAAATTTGATGCATTAGTCTTTTTGCTGAAGGTAATGCTTTTAGTTTTTTCTGGACAAAAAACGACGTTCCATGTTTTGGCCCAGTGATCGATCTTTAGCAAATCGAGATCTAAGGCTCTTTGACAAGATAGGGGGTCATGAATTACCATGTACATTGAGGTGTCATTTAAGGTGTGATTTTATATCTTCTGCTATGTCATTTATATATACGAGGGAAAGTAGTGGACCCAGAATTGAACCCTGAGGCACTCCGTTGGGTACGATGATTTCAGTTGATGATTGACCTTTTATTTGAACTAATTGTCTGCGATCCGAGAGGTAGTCTTTTATGAGAAGTAGAAGATTCCCGGTAATCCCAATGGCCTGGAGTTTACATAGAAGTCCTTCATGCCAGACACGATCGAATGCCTTACTTATATCGAAGAAGATGGCCTTAGTTTCGAGTCCTTTATCAAGCTCGCCACATATTTGATGATAGATATCAACAAGTTGGTAAGTGCAGCTATCTCCGCTCCTAAAGCCAGATTGCACAGGGACAATTTTGTTATTTGAGACAAGGAAGTTGTTGAGGTATTTGTACATGCATTTTTCAAAGTCTTTTCCAAGACAGCTCAACAAGGATATTGGTCTATAATTGGAGCAGGAATGTTGTAAATTGGGGTAACGTCGGCCCGTTTCCAAATGAGTGGAAAACACTGAGAGTTTTGGAGAGAATTGAATAGGTAAGACAATGGAGGGTACAGAAATTTACAGCACAGTTTTAGAATGGTATTATTTATATGGTCACTACCACAGGCCTTGCTTGTATCAAGGGAGATCAAGATATCATAAACATCACTTGGAGTGTAGATAGGTTCTCGATAAGACTTTGTGTTAGTGCAGGTGGGGTTAAATTTGGGTTGGGTAGTTTGGATTGACTTATGAAGTGCTGGTTGAGTGCTTCAGCCTTTTCACAGTCGTCATCGATAATGCCGTTTTTGTGAGTAAAGAGGGAAAGTCTTTTGGGGTGGATTTATGTTTCAATGCAACAGATTTGACTAACTACCACCAGTCTTTTTCGTTGAATTTGCACTCATTTATTTTGTTATCCAATTTGGTATGGCATTCCATTTCGGATGTAACTGGTTAGTTAAATACACATACAGATGTACGATGGAAAATACTGGAACTGTGGAATTCTATTATTCCACTCATATTTATACTCATTTGAGAAAACCAATTAATATTTTTAATGAGACAAGTGTTGAATTATCTTGGTGGTCAGTCATATATATAAAATATTGAATGACCACGATCAAAAGGAACTAATTCTATCCAATATGTTACAACCATTAAATTTACTTTTTTAATAGTTTTTTATCAGCATATTGAACTCTTGAACTTGGTCTAAATGAGTTCACATATGATAACAATTAATTTGTATTATTTCAATTTGATCATAATTTCACTTGTATCGATTCTCTCAAATGAATATTAGCATAACATTACAAGAGATTAACTATCACCTGGAATGGAAGACAGGGTATTATCGCTAATTAAGCATGGTTGTTGATTAGAGGAATTTGGCTATAGTTTTAATTACTATGCTGGGTTGCCAAACCAACCAACAAACCAACTGCTTGTTAGCTCTGTATTTGATTATAGATACAGCGTCCTAGAATGGGCTATATAACCCAGCCTCTGCCATATTCTTCAACAACTGAAGCAATACAAGTAATATTATCTAAACACTGTCCTCTATCATTCAAGGTAAGGTTCAGTTTATAAATATTTATTATATTATATGAGAGCATTGGTAGTCACAGCCTGATAGGGAATCTATAAAAGCAATTAATCAAACGTCATTATACTTTGAGCCTTAGATTCCATACTTGCCTGTTGACTGCCCCAACTGGTGCAATTCGGTGGATAATCTATAAAAGCAACTATTCAATTATATTAAATTGAGCCTTAGATTATCTACCAAGGCTGCAGCAGGACTCACTGCGTTAACTCACAAATGCACAAGATAATGTTGGAGTCGTGCCCTAAGAATATTGGCAAGTAGTGCCTCTCGACATTACACGCGAGTAAACTCTCCCCAAACAATGTTATATTAGTTAATTATTATATTTATGACATTTTATATAAACACCCCCAACTTTATATATTATGTATGCATTGAGTATTGAATATTTATATTGAATTTATGTTAATTCTTCATAATTATCATTTGTATTTTAATGTATAGTTTTATAACATATTATTATTATTATCATGTAATGAATCAACAACTGAAGCAATACAAGTTATATTATCTAAACCCTGTCTTCTATCATTTCAAGGAACAACCCTAACATAATAACACGAGCATATAAAAGCTTAGAAAGAGCATATAAAAGCTTAGCGGTAAAACAAATAAATACGACAGAAACGACAACTGTTATAATTGCCGTGGAATCCAGAGCAAAGGATGCATAACAATTGCGTATTGTTATATATATTGTTATCATTATATGAAAACTGAATTCACACGCAGGAAAAATTAGACGTTCACAATTGCATTTTAATCTGAATGCTCGAATGGCGAATGTTAATTGAATCTGAAACCAAGGATCCTGTAGCGTAAGAAAGACAAGATGTCGATATTTCTTGTTTGAAAACATTATTTTCTGATTAAAAATTCATTTTGTATAATCTCAAATCTTGACAACTAAGTCAAATGTCTCAATGTTTCAGCTCGGCATGGAAGCTAGCCTTTGAGACGCCTCCGCTTCTCCATTGGGCACTTCAATAGGTAGTCAATCTAAATAGGAAAATGCAAAAAAATAGATTTCCTGTACAATATTTTCATCCCTTTGGCATTTCAAATAGGTAGTCAATCTATATAGGAAAATGCCAGAAAAGGGATTTCCTGAACAATATTTTCTTCTTCATTGGGCACTTCAATAGGTAGTCAATCTTAATAGGAAAATGCCAGAACAAGGCTTTCCTTAACGATATTTCCTTCCCTTTGATAACAACATGGTAACAAAAAAACAACGAGACATCTTTTCTTGTTTCAAACAAACAGTTTTTAATATCATTCATAGAAGTTGGTTAAGAAAATAGAATCGGTATTTTATTTCATAGAATACAATGCATTGATATAAAGAGTGTCACTTGAGCATGTTATGAAAGTCGATAACAACCTTTACTTTATCAGGTAAAAATATAACAGGCTGATAAAGGGATTTGGTCTTTAACATTTCGTTTCAGCAGTCGATAGTTAGTAGCCTCTCAATCCCTTTTTCCAAATATGTATCACTAGAACCTTCAACTTCAGAATTTAAAGCTATTACGAAATTCGTCTTACACCTTGTACCACGAAATGCAGTGATTTGATTGCTTTTTACGCTAGCAAATTCAGCAAACTAGAGCCCTTAACATAAAAACTGTAAACCTATGGTTTTAATTTCTCTTGAGGTCTCTGATTGACTTTATTCCTTTGCGTAAAATCCAATCAAATAACTGCTTTATTTGACTTCCGTGAAATAAAGGTGGCTATTACAGCCAAGGTATACGATGAATTCGTAATAGCTTGATATTGTGAAGATGTAGAAGTTAAAGAACTGAGAGCTCTTTTGGATCCTTTCGCAAAGGGCTTATCAAAAGAAAATACTTAAAAATATGTGTAAAAATACGAAGCACTAAAACTCTAGAACTGTCAGCTCTTTGAGATCGTTTCGTAAAGAACTCAACAAAAAGAAAACAATTCTAAGACGTCATAGTCATTTCTGTCATAAAATTTATACAAATAGTTTCAAATGCTGGATCGAAAAATCAGAAGACCACAATACCTTTAATAATGTTTATCAAATATACAAGATTTACATACTCTGAACATTACATTTTAACATTCAAATATCACGATTAGATTCCAGACATTTATTTCATAGAATCACTTGATTTTTAATGATAACACGTAGCTAATCGTCACTGTCAAATACTAAGCAGATTTTCTAGGCAGCGTTCGTGAATATCGTATATCGTGCTCTGTAGGCGTTAATTTTTGGCTCCTGGCCCCTCCGTAGGCGTTAATTTTTGGCTCCTGGCCCCTCCTGAGCCATAACAAATAAAATTTCGCCCTACTTTCAAAATTACATTAGGTGATTTTCCGGCGTTCCGCCAAAAATTATGGTGAGCCCAGGTCGACTTGCGGTGTACATCTCATCGGATCGCAGTCTAATTAAAATTCGTTTTTTCATTATCAGGTTTTAGTTTTAATATAACCACTTTAGTTAGTGTCGATCGCCAAATTAACCTTTTGACTTTAATCAGCGCTGGCATTTTGTGGCACGGTGGTTAGGTCAAACGGTTAGTTTGCCAACGTTTTAAGCAGACTGTTCGGATCCGACGGTGTCGATACGACCTAAGTGCTTACTTCGAAAAATCAACGATGCATAGGTCACTGAGTTTCGATCTTTCATTATAGGAGGAGGAGTTATTAAAATCAAGTATTAATCTATATCAGCGAAAAAACAAATGTGAACTTTCGTTTTGTTCGTGTACACGCAGTATTGTATGCTTTTTCTATCACTTGTACGTTCCAGATGTATTCAAAAAACATTGATTGAATTTTAATGCATATCTGAGGAACGTTCATAAATAAAAGGTCTCACAGGAAACAAAGAGCATCACAAAATATCGCCAGCGATATACAATTAAGAAAAATAATTATAAAAAAAATTAATATTCAGATTATTATTCATGTTTTCAAGTACATAAGACGCCCAAATTGGATTTATCATATGCATCTGTGGTATTGTTGAAAAATTATTTTAGGATAAAAGAAAGAAATTTTATGAAAGTGCTGAAAACTTCTCTTACGGCGCTGATGACTTCTTGTCACCAACAGACCCGAAACGTGCAGATATCGTATTCCGTTAACTTCTGACCAATATTACCTCTTCAATCACATAGACCAATCATTTGTGTTAATTCTATTGTTATATTATCAGGATGTTGCGACACCGCGCCTCTACCCGTTCTCTACTGAAAATTCACCTTTGATTTCCACATAAATAATACATGGACATTTAAGATTGCGTTTCCAACCGGAAATTAAATAATCGTCGAAGGAATACTTTACAGACATAGTAATTCTTCAAGGATTGGGAACTGAGAAAATTTGAAGAAAAGCAATAGGTATTTTCAAGTTTTTTAGTCTTTTTCACCATAATTCACTTCAAAGATCGTACCATAGCTGAACTATGAGGTCTAAAAATGAATTTCAAGTTGTCTTCTTGGCTTTTAATACACCAGAGCACATAAATTCTTCTTTTTGTGCCAGTATATAAGACGAAAGTGGGAATCGGAATAATTCAAATATGTGCCGATAGTGCTAGCAAAGATTATTGTATCAAAGATAGAAAAATGAATGACTATCTAAGAAAGATATCAAATTTTAACAATTTTAAGCTTTCTAATATTGTGAGGATGGAAAGTTGACAAAACAAAATTTATTCTAATATACATGACTGCAACACGAAGGTATTTGATAATTCATCTGGAAAAAATTACATTCCAAGATTAACTATACAGAGATCCATGAGGAGAACCAAAATATAAAGTGAACTATACATAAGGGTCAGTATGCTTTAGTTAAAACTTAACATAACCTTTGATTTCCCAACACAATTCACGAAAAGCGTTATCCAGCCGTTGGCGCAGTTGTAAGTTGATTTAAATCATAATTGTCTATTTATTTTACACCGGCCAGCTACATTTAATACTTGATGAAATCTTTATTTAATTCTGGGGCGAAACTCGAATAAATTCTGATTAATCGCGACTTTATTACTCGCTTTCTGATTGACAACGACTTAAAAATGGCGCTACAAAATCCATTTACTAAAAGTAATTTACACTTGAACAGAGAAAAGATCTTTGGTTTAGTGAAATCTGTGACAATCTACAGAGAATTCTCTTTGATTTGTCTATAGATAAGAGTATAAGTATCTCAGACTGTTGAAGAACTATCCTCTTTTTGTTCTTTACGAAATGATATTGTAACGTTACCATTGGTATATTCTATTGTCATGTACTTGGTCACACCACTTGAGAATCCACGAGAACGCTGACGTTTAGTGGAAGACGTGAAACAAGTCAACACATTTTTAAAACCACGTCGAAAATTTTTACTGAAGAAACAATAAATTATAGGGTTGATTCCACTGTTCGAAAGTTCAAGCCATTGTGATATAGGAATAGCCACGTTCCAGATAAAATGTTGTGAGGCTTGATCTATAGGCGGATCATAATATAGTTTTATAAAAATAACATGAAGAGGCATCCACGAAAAGGTAAACAATAAAACCATCACAGCCAGCATTTTCACAACTTTGATTTTAGATCTACGTATAGTTACATTGTCTTTTGCCACACCAGGGGCATGCCGATTCCATACCCTTAATCCTATAAAAATATAGCACAGCAGCACAACAGTCAGTGGAAGTACGTAACAACCAATGAAAATGGCGCCCATGAAATAGGCCCTTTGTGCCTCAAAATCAGGCCAAAGTTGGTGACACATTTTAAGCACTTGTCGACTTGTCCTGTGTTCATATTCCTCATAAAATATAGCCCAGGGTAAGAGTAGAAGACAGGAAAACAACCAGATGGTAACAACTGTAACTCGAGCAGTTCGTGTTGTCGTCCGCCATCTTGGTGAGTGACAAATGGCAAGATATCTGAAATGATAAAATGGAAATAGGTAATAGTTGAACGTCTGAAAGATAATCAGTGATCATGCTTATAGATTGCTACCATTTGCGACTAGTCGTGGTCAATGTGAGGAAACTAGAGAAAAGTCCCTAAAACCGAAAAACGGTCGTCCCCATTTATACCGCGAGTGTGACCATATCGCTTTCTACTGTTTTACAGCGTTTATACCTCTCTAGGAGTTGTTACAATACTTTAAGACTTCCTCGTGGCGTTCTTAACTCGTTCAGATCGCCGAACCTTAGCTTTTGTTTTGAACATGTCCAAAATAAACGCAGTGACTCGGCGAATAGTAGCCATAATGGCAACAATTGAACGATTTAGTTTTCCATGATAAACAAATATCTCTTCGGAAAATAAAGTGGCACACAAGTCATGTAAGACAAACATGAGTGTATCTTTATAGTACAGTCTTTAAATCAAAATTTTGTCAAATGCAAATGGTACGTTTTGGAGGTGTTATATGCGTTTTAATGGTGCCAGCAGATATTTCCTTTTCTTATCTTGGATACTTTGTCATACAAGTTGCGCATGTTCCACTTTCTAGGAAATATTTGATTTGTTTGCTGCGTTCAGAATCTGTAACTATCGTCTATGTTGACTGCGAACGGTTTCGACGAAATGATCTGCATTGCCATAGCGTAGCCCATATTAAGTATTTTTTTTAAATTGACTGTGCAACATTTATCTCAAGATATATGTTACATGCAAAAACTATTTTGTATTCATTGACAGCAAATGTTAGAAGACAGATTAGAGTTCATTTCATCATACTGTTATACCGGATATCATAATCAATGACCTTTTTCTCCTCGTAGCATTAACTTGGTGATCATCTTATTCAATTAATATCAATAATAAAAGATAATATCCTGTCTAATTCTATATCCATTTTATAGCAAAACTGTCTTGAATCAGAATGACGGTAGTAACATTTATAAAGTGAAAAGATGCAGATTGAAATAACTCTTATCAGACTGAATATTAGTTCATTTTTATGTCGCTTTAACACAATAACTCGGTAGACTAATATACTTCTGTAAATGCCAATGATAAAAAGTCGTTTTCAGCTAAATTAAACTAGTATTGCACAGTAACGAAAGTCATTAAGATGATGAGGTTCATTTCAATGCCGTTATTCTAATGCTTTATCATTTCCATCTATTTAATCAATTGTTACCAATTAATATCGATAATTTGTGCGTTTGAATTTTCATCTCAATGCCCCCCATACACTTGAACAATTTTTGTCCCTGTAATGGTCGTGCGGAGAGCAGCATTTCAGGCCTCACTGTATACGCAATGCAGGGCAAAAAATGGTCACATTGACATGATGGCACTATTAATTTACGCATAGGAAGTATGGTATGCGCAATGCTCCAGCCACATTTTTTGAAATGTTCTTTCGGAAATGGTACGTATCCTAGCACCCTTCACATACTCCCCACGCCAGTTCACTAACACTTTAATCATTGGCGGGCCGAAGTGTGTGTCATTGCGCGAACTGGAATTGTAAAAACATATTACAGTCCATGTATTTTATCTAGCATCTTATAAAAGCAAATTGTAGATTTAAACAGGATAATTTAATCGTTCTACAATTAACTAGTCGTCATTGTCTTTACTTTTGTTTGTTCGGAAAAAGAGGAATATGATGAAATTGATATCTCATGACTTGTAGACAAGATTTACTTAATAAATAAAATACTTCTGGTCCCATTGTTCAAATGCCTGGTAAACAGTTGATATACCATCAGTAAGATCAAAATTCACTTAAAAGTCAGCAACATTTTCCGACGTGAAAGATCAAATTTCAGATTGAAATCAGCCTATTGACTTTTCTCTTACTGAATTAAAATGAGGTAAGAGTCTTTTAATCTTTATAAGTTACCAGATTCCATTTATTATCTTTTATGGCTTCAGAGCTCCTCTGTCTATTAAAGGAAATTGGAAGAAAGAGGATTACTTAAAAGTTAGTAAACTGATTAATCCTTACCTATCTATAGCAATAGCTGCTAATGTATTTACTGAGGCACAAACTGATACTCCTTGAAGATATGGGGTTGCACGACACATGAAAGCACCAAAAGGCCAACCTGTAAATAGAAAAACAAAGATCATATGTACTCAAAGGGCAAGGGTAATAACTCTTAAGCCATTTTACCAAGTCTGAATTTGTGCAAGATTACATACAAAGTTTCATCAAAAGCGGATTACGACGCCTTTAAAAACCAACAACGTCAGAATGATGTTTTTACTTCGTTTATCAAACAAAAACTAGCCGGTTTTTTTTTCAATGGTTTTTTAGTTTCGATCAAATACATGCAATATTATTCGCAAAACATGTCGCGTTCGATCACGCATTAAAGTGATGGTATTTGGGTAAACAAAGATCGAAACGTTGAAACTTATACGCAAGACGACATCAATATCAATTCCCCAAAGACTAGAGCATAAATGTCGATAACCATTCATATTCCAGAAGTGCATTTAGCTTGTTATACGAATTTATTACGAGTTTATCAGTCAGCATGAAAAGGGTATAACCAATACAGATATTAATTCATATTCAATTTCCCAAAAATTTCATTTCATGAAGTTGTGATATTTTACATGAACAGTAGAAATATAATATGAATACATTTCCGAAACTTCTTAAAGTGTCGATATTTCTGATTAGATATCATGTAAATACGCAGACTACAAACATTACAGAAATAATTGAATGAGAATTTTTTTTTATTTCAGATCAATATCATTTGGTACATGCCGAGTTTTATAATGAAAAGAAGTAGAATATCAAGAAGGTCAGAATAGGATGTTTAATACCTAGAGAAAATCTGATTTTGAAACAAAGGAAATCAACAAGACAGAAATATATAATTACATTGTAACATGCCTCACACCTTGGACGCGGAATTGTCAATCGTGGGTAAATGTTCTCCCCACCGAGACCCTAGTGAGCTGTGAACTATTATTGATTGGCTTAGCTTAAAAAAATCCGTTTCTGAGACTAAAGTATGATTGGTCAAAAAACGGCGCACCATCCGTTTAAACCCTTAGCTAGATTAGACATTATAGTATCACTCATTAAGTTGTAATGCTTTGAGGTTATAATTACAGATCATTAAAATGCGTAAATGATTAAGAAGTTATAAGTATTAACAGTTTCCAGATATCCTGACCCGAAGTGGGAAATATCAAATCAATACTAGTCTGACATTATTGAGCTTAAACCGTTCTAGACAGCTCAGAAGCAGATTTTCCATATCCTTAGCGTTAATCAATATATGACAATAATAAAAAAAATAATGAACTGAAAAATCATTTTTACCATCATATATAATGCATAATTCAAGTACATCGTGAGGATTCATTCAAAAGATTTCAAATTTGACAGAAATTCAATAATTATGCGATTCTTTTCCAATTTGTCGCTATTAGTCGACGTTTTACTTTTTGTATTTATTTGGAGAAATAAATTTGACCTCTACTCCTAAATTTCGCTTTAGGATTGTTTTGTGATTATGTATATAGACCTTTGTGACGTATATTTATTTCTTTTAGCAGGATATCGAAATATTATATCGAGCATCGATTTCTTAAAGAATAACACCAGATCCTAGTAAAAAACATTTTTCATATGTCATATACTTTTTCTTGAAAGACGGTAAAATCGATAAATACAGTAAAAAAAATAGTGTTCCCTTTGCGGGCTGTCATCCAATTACTGATTTTTTCACCATATTTAAAGTCCTCGAAGCTTAGCGCCATTTGAGCATAAATCAGTCTAATAGATATTTAATTGGTCATATTTCAAGTATATCTCGACAAAGCACGATGCTGACTATTAAATCATGATGTGTCAGATGATATAATATAGATGTCAAGTCAACTAATATGATTTCAATAATAAGGAAGAGTTTCAGAAGCATCGAAAAGAAACTAATGAACTATAATTTTCAGATCAGTTACAGACATCGTCAAATGCGAACAATAATTACCCGATATTGTGAGACTTTATCTGAAACATTTGTAGAAATTAATTTCTCTTTTGTGTTTTCTCTAAAAGGAAGCAAAAAATCATCTTCACTATGTCAAGCTATTATGAACGCCATCTCATACCTTGACTGCAATAGCCACATTTGTGTTACACTTTTGCCGATGACTCTGATTGGCTGTTTATGCTAACCATCCATCTAAATCGCTTCTTTTGCAAATTTCCGGAATACAAGAAAGGTGGCTATTGTATTGGATGTATAAGACGCAGTGTGTACAAACTTAACATTGAGAAGATGATACATTGTCAAAGAAGAGAATTTGAAATAACAACAGCTTAAAGGTCAATGTGAATCATCAGTTCTCAGTACACATACACTTAATTAGCATTTTTGCACTACACTCCCACAATTGTTTATTTGTATTTTTCACGAACTATACCTTCTATTATGTATCTTGCAATGTTTTAATGTTTTTAGACTAAAATCAAGGCAAGTATTATGGCTATAAAACTTTTAAGCTAAAGTAGTTCTCTAATGAAATCTTATTTTCACATCTCACTTAGCACAGGTAATGGAACTGATCAAATATTCCCCAAATCAATTTAAAACAATAAGTCTTTCTCACACAAAGTAAAATTGAGCTAATGAACATTTTCCGTTTCCTTGATCCTTGTAATGTGATATCAAGTTCGACCAGAAATTGTCAATAATAAAATAAATAACGACTCTTCATAGATCTAAGTTTGTCTTTCTTTGGTTTGAAACTCTAAAAATATATATCTTAGTGTGTACAATAATAAAATATTTTCAAGTGTCATTTAAAAGTTTCCGTGAGTAAATGCACTCGAATAATATTAACTTGTCACTTTGAACATTGAAAGACATTTTCAAGAATAGTATTTTAACTCCCTTTTCGATCTACAATATTAATACAAAGGGTGTCAAATCGTTGTCCATATAACTTGCCATTTGCCTCCGAGCGATACCATCCAGTGAAAAAGCAGTTGGAAAGTCTTAAAAACATTCTCTGTGAAACTATACGGCTTTAGGTTAGCGTTATTGACCAAAATTTGAACTCAACAGGATTTTCAAAACGATTTTTTCTCAGTAAATTTGATCTTGATGAGAGATCTTGTTGACGAGCGTATTCAATTATTCCAATTATAGATTGTTTTTTATGGTAATGACGCTTGTGTTGGTGATAGTTACTCAAATAATACCCCTTAAAGCATCCAATCATATGATGACCGCAACTCTTGAACAATTCAACAATTAAGCTATATAATCTTGTTGTTTACCATATATACTACTATCGTTGCTTTAAGGAAAGGTCGTTAAAATAATATAAGAAAGAACCCAATTAGGGTCATTAAAAACACACACAAAATCACCCCAAGGTCTGATCTTTAGTATTTTTTAAGAATGGATCGGAATCTTATATTACTATGACTTCAATACTGTATCGCGAATTACAAAAATAATAAGGATATCGAACCCTACAAAGCCTTTTCTAGGATGCATTTTGCATGCACTTACTTCATCTCACTGAAAGTTGTGCATTTGAATTTTCCCGTACGGCGGAAATCCATAACATATTTTCAATCTATTTTTTTTTCTACCATTAAATAACAAAGCAATTGGTCCGTTAGAATTTGAAACAAATAATTTCTTAATTAAAGTATATAAAGTAATTAAACTTGATCCCATAGAGTTATCGTAAAGAGTATTCTTATAAAATTAGCACCTGGATATTTACTGTAGTGATCTAGAAAAACTTACATGTATACTCATGAAAGATATAATCTGATACCTTCATTTAAAACTGATACATTCATTAGAAAATGATACGTTACTTGTGCAATATAAATATCGTGATTGCGTAGTATAGGTAAAGACTATAATTGATATTTATGATGAACTGAAATTACTAGAATGTTCAGTAGATAAAAGATTAAATAAACTACGATTGTGTAGGTGTATATATTCTGAGACCTCATCCATAAATACTTTAAACATTGATATACACCAGTATTCTGCTCATGATGGTGTTTGCCCTGCGGGGAATATTTGTCAGTCTACATTCCAGACCAGACATTAATTAAGGGGATATCATTATTAATTACGAACCATAAGGTCTGATAGATAAGATAAGTCAAAGAATGATTCCAAGAGATTAATGATTCTGGTAAACTGACGTGAAATCGTACGCTTGTTAAATGAACCATTGAAAAGATAAATGTATGACAGTTCAAATAAATTCAAAGAACACTTCACGGTAGGACCTACCGGTGGACATAACAACCTCTTAACAAAACAAAATTTTTATGAATTGATCAAAAAACGTAGATTTTGAAGATTGAGAAATGTTTTATAAGTTGAATAAATATTTAAACTGCTTGGCAGCCATTTTGTCCTTGTGATCATCTATATTTAGTAAAGTCGTTTTATGCAGAATAGTCGCTATAGGAAAGTAGTGTACAAGCTAAACCACTGGTCAATTTACTAATTTTGATTGAAAATTCCGGTTATCATCAGACGACAATACTACAAAATAAAGATAAGACTTATTAAAGATCATTGTAATCATGAAGAACCGCCAGCAGTAATTGACGATATGAAGTGTTAAAATGTATATATGTCACGAGTCTTGAAGACCTAAGGCAACTGGGTATCTATTTATGTCAGACAGAACGTATAACATTTAAAATTCACCTAATAAACATGTCTTCACTAATGCAATCACATTGCAAATAGGTCACTCAAAAAAAAACCCTCCCCCTCCCCCCCCCCCCACAAATATAATCGGTCAAATCCAATTTGCCCCCGGGAAGTGTCTAGATTAATGTCTAGTTCAGAATGGCAAGTAGTCATACGTGACAAATACAGACATTTCAGTATAAATTTATGATAAATACATGTCTTCAAGGAAAGTTATTCTGAACAAAATATATTCCAAGAAAGGTGATATATTTTTATCGTAACTGATCACAGTTATCATAACTGAACAAATAGTTAGTTATAACCAATATCAGTATGTCAATAACCATTATTTAAGTGGAAAAAATGGAAGATCAAAGTAAAGGGCCTCTAAAGCTATGAGTAGTTGCTCAACTCTAAATATTATGAATGTGCTTTACCACCAAATTCTTGAATTGTGGACTTGTTTACTGATGACAGGCAATAATACTCGGAAGGAAACAACTGTAATATTTTACCATCATTACTGCACAACTTCAGGTTCGAGAAATTTAGGCCACGGATGAGGGCTCATTCTAAATAATTGTGCCACATGACAGACTTCGGGGTAAACCAAGACGTATATTTCGATTGAAACTAAATGACAGATGATAATCTGGTGAATCTTCAGTATTTTATACTGTAGTAATCACAAACTAGAACAATAAATCACGGTGACAATATAATCTACGATTGATGGTAGAAATTCTAGATTTTTTAATTGTTAAAGGGAAACAGTCGTCGAAACTGCATATAAGTATAACGGGAATATCAATGACAATGGACATGACGATAATATGAACATCCTATTATTTTTGTTGAAATACGGTCGAGTATGTATTCTGAAAAGTGACATATATAGGATGTTTGCAAAAGCCACTATAATCAGGCGATGGTACAACCCCAAATCTCACAAGATGCTGAACGTAGATCTATCAAAATGCGTTTGTTGATCGAGACCTTAAGAAATGAAAGGCATTCACGTGGAGCTATGCCAGTTTTTTTGAGGGACCAACCTCTCTCCAAAACCATCTGTGACATTTTTTTTATCGGTATCGTTTGAAAAAGTACTCGTTTTTTACTGGAACTAATCCATAGCTGTGGGATTTAATTTTATAATAGAAAGTTTGTCAAGACTACACTCAACCGAAAAGAGCAATAGGGCCTTTCGGACGATTCAGTCAGCAAATGCCTAAATGTCACTGGGGTCGTTTTTAAGACCCATCCGTAATAAATAACCAATACAAAGCCGTATTTTCATGGCAACCCCGAGTACAAAACAAATTACTGATCTTATTTTTTCTCTTTTAACCAAGGTTTTCTGATGTAATTACGATCTTCATTTTCTTAGTGACAAGTCGATTTCGATCTCATAACGATAATGAGAATAGGCTTGTTTTTTGCTCCTTTATCTGTATTAACATGCACAGAAAACTTGTCGAATATTGATGAGTAAAAAATGGAAGATGTTTTATTTTTAATTTTTCTTAAATTAAAATAAAGATGCTACATAGTACAAACTTGGAAAAAAAATTCGCACATCAGAAACTATATTTTTAAGCACTGTTTAACGTATTTTATAATATATAATAATAGTGCTATTTTTACTACCTAACAGTGGAAAGTAGCGACGACGGAAAATAACAAATCATAGGTTTAACCAGAACATTTAGAATAAATATCAATATAAAAGAGATGGACTTAACACAAATCGTAGTTAAAAAATTAAAAAGCCATATGTCGACATAATCAGAGATATTTAAAAACACCCGAATCACTTGATCGTACTTCTCTTTGAAGGAGTCCAAAACTGCAGAACTTTTACTCCCGATTTTATTCCCGATTTTGCCATTCTTTGGACGAGATTTTTGAATAACGGAATTGTGTAGCTTGTACGGATTTTTAATAGTTGTAAAATGAATCCATTAGACATCCTTGTTCATTCAAAATGGATTAGCTTTTTCATAACACCTGCTTAAAGTTATCACAAAAATTACCCTTAAATCTCGATATAAATTCAAATTAAATGTTTTTATAGTCCCTTGTCACTCAACCTCTGACATTCTAATACAGAAGTTTTATTAAAGATATAAAACACTGTACAATCTGTCAAGACCGATTTTACGATAAACTCATCTCATACTAATGGACATAATTTTAAACGGATATCGTGGTCTATAGACATGCAAGATTAGAAATTACTTTGGAATCTTGTATATTTACCCCAGTTGTGGATATTAGTATTATCTAGTATTGAATCTTGTAGATTTGCCTTAGTAGCGAAACTTGTATATGTAGTGGATCTTGTATAGTTACTCTAGTAGTGAAATTTGTATATTTACTCTAGTTGTGGATCTTGTATATTTACTCTAGTTGTCGATCTTGTATATTTACTCTAGTAATTACTTTTGTATATTAACTCTAGTATTAGGTCTAGTAGATTTACATTACTGGTGAATCTTGTATATTTACTCTAGTAGTGAATCTTGTATATTTACTTAAGTTGTGAGTCTTGTAGTAGTTCTTGTACTCGTATATTAACTCTATTGGATCTTGTATATTAACTCCAGTAGAGAATCTTGTACATTTATTTTAGTTGAGGAACTTGAATATTGTTTATTTACTCTAGTTTTGGATCTTGTACATTTACCTTAGTAGTGGATCTTAGATCTAACTGAGGGATGGATATTGTATATTTAACCTTGTAGTAGATCTTGTAGTGGTAAATCTGTTTATTAACTCTAGTTGTGGATCCTGTATATTTACTCTAGTTGTGGATCTTGTATATTTACTTTAGTTACATATACCTTAGTAGTGGATCTTGTATACTTATCCTAGTTGTGGATCTTGCATATTTACTCTAGTAGTGGAATTTTATATTTACTCTATCTGCGGATTTACTTTAGAGGTGGATATTGTATATTTACCCTTGTAGTAGATCTTGAACTCGTTTGGATCTTGTATATACACTGTTTATTAACATTATTTGTATATTTACTCTAGGTGTGGATCTTCTATGTCATATCTAGTAGTGAATCTTGCATATTTACTTTTATGTACCTTAATTGCCAAGTTTAACTGTCTTGATTGTGACTAGTATTGTAATCGAATGCTACCATGAACAACTATTCTCATTGGCTCATCTTTGATAAGAATATCCAGTTTACGTTGATATCAGTCCTAAATTCGAGTACGGCCTCTCATTATTCTTGAGAATGGCGACCCCTTTCTGGTCGTCGGGATTACCTATGCCTTTTTATACAATTTCTGTCACATTTAAATTCATATTCTGGGGTTTTGTACTCTGTATAAAGAGACGGATTAGCATAATCCGAAACATAATTTATCTTCTGTAAAAATGATAAATACATATAGTAATGAATGTAATAATCATAAATACATTAAAAAAAACATCCGACCTCATTTCAAAAAGCATTGTGTAGCTTGTTGATTAGCTCAATCACGAACAGACAAGTAAGGCGTAAGCCATAATAAATTTTATATTAAATACTAAAAACTAATTAAAGATTTAAAGGGAAACTGTCGGAAATCTTATGACCAAAATTTGTTACGTTAAGCAAGTCTATCATATCTTTAACAGTGGGTTATACAACACATTTCAGTCTTTATTGGCACCATAATTGTAAGAAATATTACCAAAAAATAGTTATCTCATCGTACGATAAGGTATTAAGAATAGATTCTCATAGCTGGTCAGAGTTTGGTAATTAGTTCATATTATTTCTCTTTACAAGGACTTTTACTCTAAGAAACATGCAGACAACACACAAAAACATGTTGGTTTGAACATATCCCTTATCATGCTTTTTTCAACCGAAAAAAATGTACTTCCAAAGTTACTAAATATTGAAATTGATGGGACACTTTAAAGTAATAAATATAACTTACCACTGAATATATTACTCAGTAAAGTAATAGGTATACAAAATATAGCCACCAAAATATCACCAATAGCTAAATTAGCTATAAAATAATTGGTCACTGTTCTCATATTAGGAGTTTTTATAACTATCAGAACAACCATCGTATTTCCAACCAAAGCACACATAAATATAATAAAATATGTTATAGAATATATTATTATCATATAATATGGTTGTTTAATCAGCGGAAAATATCCTTCATTTGGTGGTGTATAGTTCAAACTGAGCACATTGGAAAAGTTGGTGAAATTCATGTTGGTTTAGAGAGATACATAAACTTCAGTACTCTATCACGATACGTTCTTAACTGAATTGTGTTAAGATGTGGAACTGGTCAGAAAATTGTGATGACCTTAAATAGCTGATTATACTGGAATCATATCATCAAACACTTAACTACCTTTCCTTTCTTTAAACTTACTAATACACTTGATGAAGATTACCGGAGCTCGCTCGCGTGTTCACATTATATTATAGAATATTATCTTGGACGCCTTTTATGATATTGATCATCTAGTGCCATTCTAAAATATTTGGTGTTTTTTGTTATAAATCCATTACCACTTTCTTGATTTCAATTTGATTAAAAGTTGAACAAACCCTTTTTTAAAAAAAAAGAAATGAAATCACTGGAGATATTATAACAGATTAGGCCTACTGTCTGTATATTAAAATTACGGATGTTAGATTTACTAGAAAATCCTTGACACCTCTGTCAATTATCAGAAGTAACTTGTCATATCATAATCTGTAAAAAATAAATCGATTTATTTGCTCTTGTTAACAGATAACTTTCACATCACATTTAAATGGTTGACCAAGCTGTCACGACAACGAGAAATCGGAATTGATGCACACTGCTCTCCTGGTTCATGTCGTACTTGGCTAATGAAGACGGGTAACGCCTCACAGCGTGTAATGAGCAAATTTTGCCAGAACTGCGATATAAGCTTACACTTTTAGGATTTCTGTCTGTTGTCCTAGTACATAGTATATATCCTGAAGCGCAAGGAATCTCTGTTTATTGCTCCACCCGGAGGACTAAACACTTTACAGACCAACATCACTGACAGGGGTAAAACGGGTTAAATCCGAAAGCATCTCAAACTATGCCGAGATTAAACCCTGGACTCAGCAAAATCAAAGGGTCAACAAATACAAATTCGTAAATCTGAACAACGGTAATTGATGAGTTAGAATTTACAACATGTATCTCTCATTGTTAGTAGCTTTATTAGACATCTCTTATTGGCACGTGTTAACAGTTAACCCATTGGTACTTAATAATGCTTATTGATTTTTTTTATATCACTGTAGAAATCTATGACACTGGAGCTGATTCCTATCAAATCTATTTCTAAATCAAATACTTATTAAAACTTAATAACTGTCATCCAGTCGTAATACAGATCAAGTTCATAAACAAAACGTTTGAACATCAGCTTAGTACCTTGCGGATACAAACCGTCTAGCACAATCACGAAACTATCCAATTAAGGTACCTGGATCTAAAATTTAAAACACAACATTTGAAATTGTGCATATGAGACTGAAAATAGGAAACAACCACGAAACAATCAAACTTATAAATGTGAGCTCCACTGAAAAATGAGTATCGTTACTGGTGTTGCTAGTGGAGCAGGGCATGCTCACCTTTTCTATAACACCTGATTTAACTCTGGGTTTTCATATCGCATTCCTTTCGTATTCGACATAACCGTTTATTTGGTATATTTCTTACTGCAGACGCTGTCTTGCAGTTGGAATTCATTTCGACTACTTTTTCTACCTTTTTGTATCTTTAGGGAGGAATATATTAACTGCCGTCCATTGTGATCTCTTCATATTTCATCTGAATTGTTGGCGATAGAAAATGCGAAAAAAATAATATATCATGTATTTTGACGGGAAATAGGAAATTGGATTTTCTTTTGTACTTAGATGTTTGTTTTCAGACAATTTCTCTGAACTTAGAACCCAAAGTCGTATCAACTCAAAGGGTGAAAAATTGTGGGTTAATTTTGTACCAAGAAAAAACTTGACAATATCATCACGATTTTAATATTTAGGAACAGAATGTAATAAAGTATGCCTTTTCCATTTAATTATATTCAACTCACTGCTTTTGATAAAATATAATGTAAGCCACGAGCGTGCTCATTTGACAACAGGAAAACGCATTATGCGGGCAATATTTTGTCATTACAATGTCTATTCAATCATAAAAGGCAACTGATGTTCTGACTGAGTCGAACATCGAGTTAATAGTGGATGAAATGTTCCAACACAAAATTTCGATCAGAAATTACATTGGTATGAAGTAAACCTACAGCTCTGTGTAACTTTAGTTTATTAGTAAAACTAATCAATGAGCACCCATCAAAGAAATGTCTGCATCTTTTATATCAAAGCGTGTTGATTTTATATTTTGTGTTTAACAATTCAAATAAACTAGGGTATAACGAAAGATATCTTTTTCATGAGAGGTTAGCTTGAATAAAGGCCGCGTAAAGTCTTCCAGATACTCTTATTAACATTCTTCGTGAGGTATAATGAATATTTGTCACCGCTTGGTTAAGCCCGAACGAGGGATATTTACGTTTTCTAATAACATGGTCTATAGAAGAATATCTAATGGATATCTGATGCTTTGTAAGGTAGATGATAGTGTAAACATAATGAATCTATTCCTCGTTATAGCCTCCAAAATTTTGTGATTGATTTCCTCCTGAGAATAGAAGATTTAAGCTTGAATGCATTTCAAATTTCTTTTTAATATTCATTGTTTACGCCTACGAGTATCTTGGGTCGTGATCCTGAAAGAAATGACATAAAATGAAACCTGTTTCGGATCAAATCTTTTCTCTAATAAGACGCAATATTTCTCAAACGGGTTTTGCTATTATTATGTCGTATAATATGAGGTTTTATTTGTCAAACCCCAAAGAAGATGATTGGGGTATATGACGGTTGTTGAGATTAAACCCCATCTCTAAGATGGTGAAACAAGGGATTATAAAGAGATTTTTCTTAAAATGTATACTAGTGACGTCATCAAACACTGAGTTTAGTGGAATTGCAGGAACAACAAACGTCTTATTGAAAATTAAAAGGGTTTAAATTGATGCTTTCAGTGTCTCCGGTACACATATAAATTTTAAGAAAAAACTCTTTATAATCCCTTTAATGCTTTGCGAATTTCCGAATTTTAGCACTACCTTACTCTTGCATTATTTAAATTTATTTCATATAATATATGTATCAACGCAATAAAATTGTACGGAATTCGAACAATATTTCCATATAAAATTATGATTGTAACAAAACAAATTATATTTATATAGTATTCAGTATTCCAGTACACACAAACAAACTCAGATAAGTTTTTACATCGTGTTAATAATCATCAATCCTTTTACAATAACTTTTCTTTGAATACATAATATCCTTTTAAGAAAAATTTCAATCATCAAAGAAAAAGAAAATCGCTCCCGGTTCGTATTCTTCATATGGTTTTTTTGTTTTCAGTTCTAAATGTATGGGGATTATATTCCTATTGATGGAAGGTTATTGAGAAGTGTGTTACAAAATTGATAAGAGATCAGGTTGCCTTCAGGAGATGACCAGATTTTTAAACTACGAACTCTCATGTCAGTCTAGCACTATGCCTTTTACCCACTCTTTTTGTTTAATACTATTATGCACGCCCCATTTCAGTAAGATATTTTTGTCCTCCAGTAATCAATGTAACTTCAAGATATTTGTGTCAGTAATCAATATAACTTCAATATATTTTTTTCAGTAATCAATGTAACTTCAATATATTTTTGTCGGTAATCAATGTAACTTCAATATATTTTAGTCAGTAATCAATATAACTTCAATATATTTTTGTCGGTAATCAATATAAATTCAAGATATTTTTGCCAGTAATCAAAGTAAATTCAAGATATTTTTGTCCTCCAGTAATCAATGTTACTTCAAGATATTTGTGTCAGTAATCAATGTAACTTCAATATATTTTTGTCAGTAATCAATATAACTTCAATATATTTTTGTCGGTAATCAATGTAACTTCAAGATATATTTGTCAGTAATCAATATAACTTCAATATATTTTTGTCGGTAATCAATGTAAATTCAAGTTATTTTTGCCAGTAATCAAAGTAAATTCAAGATATTTTTTTCAAGATATATTTGTGTCAGTAATCAATGTAACTTCAAGATATTTGTGTCAGTAATCAATGTAACGTCGAGATATTTTTGTCAGTAATCAAAATAACTTCAAGATATTTTTGTCGGTAATCAATATAAATTAAAGATATTTTTGCCAGTAATCAATGTAAATTGAAGATATTTTTTCAAGATATTTTTGCCACTATTCAATGTTACTTCAAGATATTTCTGTTTGAGAGATCATCCGTACGATTATCAGATTAAGTTTAAGCCTTCGTTTTCTATTCCTGTATTATTTGAAAGCAATAACAGTAGCATGGAGTTTGTGTCAATTACCTACCTGCACTAACAGGCTCGTTGAAAAATGATCATGCTTTTTTTTATTATTGATATTGGATATATCGGTTCAGTTGAAATTGTATGGATATAGGAACAAAATTGATACAGCTAAAGCTGTTTTCAATGGCAATATATCACTTATATTTTTACCATTTTCATGTCATATCATACCAACACTTTCTTGCGTTGATTGATCCTCTGTCACATTTTACTCATAACAGTTGAATGACCCGAAATGAAAGGTTGTTTTACATCCTACATTTCTGCACTTGAATGAAGATGGAAACACCAATTGGTGTCATATGAAGGAAGTTTCGAAAGGGTCTTAGCCTTCTCAAGATCGACATATGCAACCTGTAGTAACGGGATCTTGTTTATTGTCCCTTTGGAACTACTTAACGCTTTTTTCGTGTCTACATCTCTGACTGAGAAAACTAGGTTGAGAGATCCGAAGCTACATCTCGACTATGCTAGGATTGAACTCCGGACCCACAACACTGTAATCAAGCGTCTATTTACTGAGCCACCGCGATCCCTTAAATGATCAGAAATCACTTCCTCTGAGAGGTATGAAAGGACTTTTGTCCAATAAGCCTCATATCTACAACTACCAATAACAACCATCAGATCGAACTAGTATGGTTCCGTC